GTGGTGGTGGCTTTAAAGTCATTCATCACCAGGCCCTCAAGATCAAGGTGTCTCCTAGTCCCATAGAGAACTGCTTCTAGCCTCCTGTTCTGAACTCCTGAGACTCCAGGGACTCCCCCAGTGTCCTCCCTCTCTCTGCACACCTGGCCCCAGGCATGTAGATGACACTGCCCAAGAGGCCTCCTAGCTGAGCAAACCCTGCCTGTGGTGGTCAGGAAGAGAGGCGAGACCTCCACAAGTGCTTACTTTAATGCAAACACACCTGTGTCAGGAATGTCAGGGTCGGCTCCACTGAGACTTACCTGGGTCTTTGGCATCTTCTTTGGTCTTGGATTCCTAAAATCCAAACCACATACGGGAGCATTAATACATTGCTAATAACTCATTAGACATTAAGAACATGCTCCTGGGGCCCGTGGGGGAATAAGGTAACAGAGACTGGGAGAAGCTCTGGCCATGATGCTGTGAAGGCATCTCAGGTAATTTGCATGGCATATCCAGGTCCTGGTCACAGAAGCCATTGATAAAAATGAAGTGAACCTAACAGATACTCCAATTACTGGCAAGGGTTAGGATAAGACTTAAATCCGTCTAACAGGTGCTTTTTCTCTACTTAGCATTTATTGGGTGTTTACTAACGTAATTTATGTGTTTTATAGGGGCCATCTCATTTAATTAGCAATCCTATCTGACTCATTAAAATAAGTATTTTAACCAATATCATTGTTTAAAAACAATCCAATGAGGTAGAGGTTAACATTATTCCATTCCGCTGTACACTTGAGGAAATCCTTAATGCCTACAGGATGATACAAGAGTATAAGAAATACAGCAGGCTGCAAATGATTCAGCACCCAGAGAAGAGATCAGACCCCAAACCACCCTTCTGGTAACCTCCACATCTTGACTCTTCAAAAAACATCTCAACTCAAAGAACAAAATGCCCCTTCTTCAGTCTTCCACACCTACCTCACCCTTCCCTTGACCCCTCCACATTCATGTTGCTTTTCTCACCCAGTTGTCTTGATGCCGCTCAGTCCTACCCACGCCCCTTGCTTCCCTTTGAATCACTCCTCCAGATTACTCCAGAGGCTGGGCTCCTGAGGGAGGACAAGGGAAGCCTCACCCCAAGGGAAAGCAAAATGGGATAAGCCAAGCCACTGAAAGTCACCCAACTCAGTGTTGTCATCCTTTTCTTACCCTGAGAAGCCCAAACAAGGATCCTGAGTAGGGCAATGGGTTAGGTGTCAGGCTGCCAACCCCCAGGTCAACAGTCAAAATGACCAGCGGCTCCGAGGGGCAAGATGACGTGTTCCGCTCCAGACGTACTGACTCAGGAGCCTCTGTCCCATAGGGTCACCATGTACCAGTATGGACTCCATGGCAGGGACTTGGTGAAAGCCCAGATGCTCCCTCACAACAGCCCCACATGCGTCGGAGCAGACTGATGGTCCACAAAGTTTCCAAGGGCCAAGTCTTCTGAAGCAGAGAGCCAGGCCCTGGCCTTCACGAGTCTTAGTGGGTTTCTCCCTGACTGTGTGTAACATGTGGGCGCAATGCTTCTGGGGGAGCAGGTGGTGGCAACTCTAGTAAGTGACCCCTGATGAACAGAAAGGTAATCTTGGAGGAAAAGAGCCAAGATGCTGATGTTCAGCCTGACCCAAGTGGACTGAGCCAGCCTCAGATTGTAATGAAACTTCATTAAATTTAATTACAAAAGAAAATGGGTATTCGAAAGAGACTGCCATACTCTTTCCAGAGCCAAATTATAACCAAATGAAACGTATACATCTGAAACAGGGTATTAAAATATTAGAAATCAATTTACATGCAGCTTTTCAGAAATCCAGTGAACTATGTAAAAAGGAGATCCAGCTTCCTACTACTTCCTGTTTGCTGCACACTAATTTCTACAGAGAAGCGCTGTCGAGCGCGGTCACGTTATATCAACATCCTGGTGCCTCCAGAGGAAAGCAGCGGTCACTCTCGGCCGCACCCACCAGCCACTCCAGGCGAGAAGGGTGAGTCCATCTTACCTTTGTTGGACTTTGCCTTCTGGACTCATCCTGGGTTTCATCTGGAGACGTGGGCAACTGAACAGTTAACCTGAATCTTCCTTTCTCTGGCCATACCAACTCATGGTTCTCTTTCTCCAGAACACTCTGCCGAACTGGAATGTCCAACAACCAAAAGCAAGGGGGAAACAGTTTTTATTCACCAGATTATTCTATGGTTTCCATAGATGTTATCATTTTCAATCAATAACTTGGTCAGTTTCCCAAGAAACGCTTTATTGTAGTGAAAAGATAAGACACTTCACAGACAGGACTCTGAATTCCATCTCTTGATTTATTTTGCAACGGTGAGCAAGTTCCTGGCTGCCTTTACCCCAGTCTTCTTGTCTAGAGCTAAGGGTCACAGTGACTACTTTCTAGGAATGTTGGACAGGCTGAATGGAAGAAACATTATTATTATTTTTTTAAACGACAACAACCAGCACAGTGCCTGACAGTTGGCATTCAAAATGGTAGTGACTTTTAGGGAAAGAACGAGAAAGCATCCCTTTCCGAAAGCCGGTGAAGACCAGCTGGCGTGGTGAAAGCAGTGTTTTAGGAAGGTCACTTGGATGGCCAAGAGCAAAATGGATTGGTGGGACCAGGAGCCACTTAGAAGCTATTTAAATAAATTACTTAACCTACTGCTTAGAGTGTGTGCCTCAGAACCATGTGGACGAGAGTAGAACGGGTGGCATGGCCGGCATTTAAAAAAGGAGGAGGAGCACGTTGGATGGGTGGGCTCTACTGAGAAAACAGGACAGGGCACAGAGGACTGCAAAGCCGTCTGTCACTGTGTGGCCACGAGGAAGTATCACAGTTGCACTTTGAGAGTGGAGAAAAATGCCCGGGGAGCAGTGTCTGCAAATCTGCCTTGTAATAGCCTTAGGAGCTATGTGGGGCAAATTCAAAGAATAAGAAACAGCCAGAGAGGGGAGAGAGGAAAACCTCTCCCAAGATTGAGGGTATGAGTGAGTTTCAAGGAGACCGGTGTGGTCCACATAGTCAGATAGCACTAAGAAGTCCATGAGAGAGGACCCGCGGAGCGACAGATGAGAGGCAATTCCAGATTTCATCCCTTGTCAGGGTGATTAGATGATTGCCCATGGACTCTTGAAGGGCAATGCGAAGCTACTGTGAGGACCATGAACTAAGAGGACCCAAAAAAATCCAAGGGAGAGCAAATATGTATAAGGCACGTTACCTAGAGTATTAAAATAAATCAACTTATGTGGGAAACAGAACTGGGAAGAGAGTGTCTGAGGACAAACTCAACAGTCATACGTTAAGGAGTCTGGGAGCCTTAACGTTTGTAAGTTGGAGGTTCATTCCAGTCACAGTGTCCTAAGTGAAAGTTATTCCACACGATGTCTCCCCGTAATAATGCCCATTTTAAGCTGCTCCTTGTAAGCACATGGCTGCTCCAAATATGCTTGAAGGTCTACTGCTTAAAGGCTATCAGCTGGAAGGTTGTCTGCCATCAAAAGCAATCAGACCCTATCGGCTGTTCCACCCTAAGTAGGGCCCACTCCCTCTGATGGGGATCATAGATTGTTTCCCTTAGAGGAGCTCAAAGACATCTAAGGTCAAGCCAGCTCAGGGATGACCAAGGTTAGGCTGCCATCTTGACTCTAAAGTTGGCCCATCTTGTTATGTTTGTCCCTTCCTGTCACATGTATGCCTCCCCCTCCTATAGCGTGTCTATCCCGAGCTCTTCCCTCTTCATGTTATGCATATGTTTTTAATACAACCCCTTCCTGTTATGCATAAGCTTACGGTGGCTTGCTTGCTCCAGATTATATAAGTCTGTTAGTCAATAAAGGATGGTATCATTCTGGTTCTGGTGAGCCCTTGCATGCCATATCTTGTCTGATGTCTCATTAACTAACCCCTCAATTACATTAATGCCCCTTGGACCCATTTGATTGTGGAGAGGCTGGTCCCCCACAAATTTACAACCAAAATTCCCAGCTATCCAGTGAGCCATATAAAAATGATCACACTTCCTATTACTTCTTGTCTGCTCCACTCGAATTTCTACAGAGAAATGCTGTTTTCTGTACACATCACAGTGATTACATGAATAAAACTGGGTTGTACATAATGGCAATGGATGGCCTGCACCCATGAAGGCCACTCCTAGGGAGTGGGGAGGGTGTCCTCTGCAGGGGAGACCTCTAGAGAAAAGCACACATCCTAGGTCTGCAATGGTCGGTCATTCATTGTGCCCCTTGGTAAATGCTTGATATCATGCCAACAAACTGGCCCCTTGTCTAGGAAACCGAAAGTGAACAGGGACTTTCTAAAGCCCTGAGAAGTTTAACCAGAACGTGTTTTGTGTTTTAGCAAATTTGGCATTCTCGTGCTGGGGATGATGGTGTAGGGGCAATTGGAACAGCCGAGGGAGTGGAGAAAGTGGGAACGTAGGAGGAAGAAAAGACAGGCAGAAAGACTGTAAAATCCATTCTACTGTAGGGGGCTAGCTTGTAATTACTGTATCATTACAAAATTATATTTTGGGCTGTTTGCACCACTATACTGTTTGTAGTTTCTACAAGTCTTTCTTTCTGTGTTCTCCCGGGGTTGTCAGCCAACAAACAATAGGGATTACCACAGCTGGGAGCGCCACCTCATGCTCACAGCACATGAATGTCTCCAACTGAGCTGGGCACATGCAAGTGCTTTTAACCTGCCTTCCAGGGGATCTGTGCTCCACTGCAAGGACAGAGAGATCCTAAAGAAGGAAGGCTAGGTCCACCAGCAACCGGGAAAATCCCTGGTGAAAAAAAAACCGCCATGCCTGGGGGAATGACTCATAGCTGCCCTGAGAGCAAGCCTTCGTGACATGAACTTGGACGAGTTTGTACTTTGACTTCATTAGGACATCTGTGCCCAGCTGGTCCCTTGTCCTCACTCTCCCACCTTTCCTCCAAGCGTAGCTCCTATCAATGTGTCATTTGTTAACGCCTGCCTGGGGTCTTCTAAGGCCTCTTCTGGCCCAAAACTTTCTCCACCTCCACCCACAGGGATGCAGGCTGAAAGACCCTCCAGACAGATACCCACTGCTTGTCTGTGAGGACCATCTGCGTGAAGGGGTAGCCTGGATTTTAAGCGAGTCGTTAAATAAGTGAACTTGTGTGCTCCCCATGAACTGCTTGTGAGTAAACTCTTCCCACCAAAGCTCGAAGACTGCGCCCAAGATCAATTCAGAATGTCCTGATGGGCTGCACTGCGCCCGCCTTCTCCAGCAGAACAGCCCCTGCAAAGCCTCTCTCTGTACTTATCCGGTGCAACAGTGCCAACGCCCGTCCCTCTGCACAAAGGCCCAGGACCACTCAACCTCAACCACCCCCCTGCTAGCCAGTCGATACCCACTCACAGCGGCCCTATAGGGCAGGAGAGAACTGCTCCTGTGGGTCTCCCAGCTTGTGACTCTTTACAGGAGTGGAAAGCTCTGTCTTTCTCCCGAGTGGAAGCGGGTGGTCTCAAACTGCTGACCCTGGGGTGAGCAGCATCCCCCTAACCCACTGCGCCACCAGGGCTCCGGAATTTTCATCACCGAAGGGGAATCCTCGTGGGCTTCCGGTTTCCGAACCCCTTCCCTGAGAGCGGCGGGTACAGGGAGGTAGACGACCTAGCTGAGCGGCGGATGGGTCGGGCCCAGAAGCACCCACGGCGCCGAGGCCCCCTCGGGCCGGAGCTGGGACCCCAGGAGGCGTTGCACAGCGGGGACTGCGGCGGCGGTGCGCCGGGTATCCACGTCCCCTTGGCTGTGGTCAGCCGGGGACTTGCTCTCGCTCCGCAAGCGCCCTGCTCTCCCCCAGACTGCCCGGAGGAAGCGCACCGCTGCCCCGCACCCCGGTCCCTGGCCCCCTGGCCCCT